CTCCGGGATCTCAGCCCGGATCGCTGCAGCTACCTCCTCCTGAATCAGCTGACGAATCTCCTCGTCACTCACACCGCTCGAACTCGTCCCGTGGCGTGTTGTAACCATAATGTCTCTGAAATATAACATAAAATTATCAGAGACTCCATCAAGTACAATTGTACTCGATAACGCAACCCTACTCAGTCGCCGATATCCAGGGATTCTTACTTGGGTCTCCCACCAACCCGGTGTCTTCGGTAGTACGGGCCCAATACTACCGACCACACCGTATCAGCATTCGTCCCAAATCTTCCTCCCCAAACCCCAACTAGTGAGTACTCTACTTTTGATGTGCACTATCTACCTGCACGCTATCAAGTATCTCATATCGACAACTCCCTAGACTAAGGCATCACAAATCAGGCCACTCTAGTCCTATCATGAATACCTAGTCTTCTAGCATGCATAACAATTCATAATTCATTTCATAACATAACATTGTAAGGTATTTTGGGGATCTTTACCGTTCGGACGCTGACTGATCGTACACACTACTTCTTTCTTGTTTACCACACTATCATTTTTAAAAGTTTATGCCTTTATTTATTTTTATTTTATTTATTTATTTATATATTTTAAAATTTTCCTCAAATCCTCGGTTTGAGTTCAGTTACACCCGAAGGTACACCCGAATCCCTCAAACCAAGGCTCTGATACCAATTATAACAACGCAAATTTTTTTCAAACAAAATTTTCATTTCAAACAATTAGATTATTTTTATTCAAACCCAATATAATTATTTCAAGTGTTAAGTCGAAATACAATTCATAAAATTCCCAAGATCTCAAAACATCAATCAGTGTGTACGCATCATGCCGGCGCCTTCCCACGGTCCTCGCTAGTACCTGAAACACATACATAACAACTGTAAGCATAAATGCTTAGTGAGTTCCCCAATATACAACTTACACATATACGCCTTTCCAGGCCCTGACCTTCCGGTCCACAATACAACGCCTTCCGGCCCATAACATAATCGCCTTCCGGCCCATAACGTATTGCCTTCCGGCCCATAACATATTGCCTTCCGGCCCATAACACATTGCCTTCCGGCCCATATAAACATACACAGCACGCATAGCAATTAACTTACCACATATAACACATATATCACATATATCACATATCATATCCGACCTTCCGGTCACACAGTCAAACCCTTCCGGGTACAGTATAGTGAGAAGACTCACCTCGTGGATACCGTAAGCTAGCAACTCCTGAAATCACTCGTACCCGATCCGCCGAGCTACAAACTCCCTATAATATCATATATCCCTTATTAACACTTTTATCTCTCAAGTTAACTGACCCTATGAAATCACACATAGGTCAACTCTGGTCAATGGTCCAGGGTCAACTCGACCGGACTCGGCGAGTGCCATGGCGACTCGGCGAGTCTAGACGTCCTCAAATCTTCTAAGATTCCCCTTCTACTCGTCGAGTATCCTCCTTGACCCGACGAGTTACTCCTGGCAGAATCGCGGGGCCACCCCGACTCCACTCGCCGAGTCTGAAGAACAGATCGACGAGTCCCAGTTATTCTGCAAGCTACTCGCCGAGTCTATTCATCGGACTCGGCGAGTCCATGCCATGCAGTCGATCAAACTGCTTCCTAAGGTCAGAATTGTTCCGACCATTCATAGGTCTGGTCCTTCTAGACTGGTCCATCACGTAAGGTCTTCATTTAGGTGCTCATGCTACACCCCAAGACTTATAATTTACATTTTGACCTAAGGCATAAGGATTCCAATCCAAAACCTCTACTTGATTCCCGAAATGCACAGGCATGGGACATTCTGGACCTCTAAAGGTCCCAATACGGGGTTCCAATCGTTTGGGGACTAAGGTAACATTCAATCTAGCCACAAAAAGGGTTCCATAAACCCTAAATCCATATACACATCAACATGGAAGAATGTAATTCGAATTATTACCTGAATAATGTGTTCTCTCTGTGTCCCCAATCCTCAGAACGTGACTTCTCTTGTTGTTCCCTTCACCAAGCCTTCTCTTCCTTGCACAACAACTCTTCCAAACTCAACAATGGTCTTCAACCTTGCTCCAGATGCACACAATCGAATTAGGGTTCTTCTTAGAAGGCTAAAACGAACAATGACGGCCTATAAGTCCTTTTTATACGTCCCAAAACTGAACGGCTAGGGTTTCCGCTGAACAGCGCAGACTCGCCGAGTCCATATGTGGACTCGTCGAGTCCAGTCGCGAACCCGCGACCAGGTCTGCGGTCCTACTCGGCGAGTCTGGCTCCAACTCGCCGAGTCCCCTCTTAAAACACCCCAAAACACAATTTAAACAATACCTGAGATTCCGGGCTGTTACAATCAGAGGGTACAGCTGGTGCCCGGTTTGAGTAGGTGGTTGGGACACCATATGGAAGGAGAAAGTGAGCTTCTGGTTTCTATGGTTGTACCTTGAGGGGCTTGGTTCGGTCAAGGTCAAGTGGTGCGTCGTGGGAAGAAATTTGAAGATGAGATGCCGTAGACTTCAAGGACGAAGCCTAATTTAAGTGGGGGAGAATTGTAACATCCCAGAATCGCAAGAGTAGAGTTGAAGGGCTAAAAGTGTAAGTTACGGAGGGCGACTCGGCGAGTCCATGGATAGACTCGGCGAGTCAGGTCGCAACTATGGTCGCGTATCAAGTGGCCTACTCGGCGAGTCCAAAGATGGACTCGGCGAGTAGGTGCTGTGTGGAGAAAACCCTAATTTTCGGGGTTGAGCCCTATATAAAGATCATTATACCCCTCCACAGCCTCCTTTATTCCCCCCTTGAGTCCCAGAAACCCTAATTTCGTGGAGAGCCCCATTGTTGAGCAAATTAGAGCTTGGAGAGGTGTTGGTTGAAGAAATCTTGAAGGAGAAGTGGCTTGGATCAAAGGGCTTTGCTTAGATTCGAGTTTCATTGCTGTTGAGGTATCCTTTGGAGGTAATACTTTCGTTCTTGGGCTGTGTTTTCCTAGTTTCTCATTTTGGGGTTGTGTGGGGAGCTTAGTTGTGTGGCATCTTGATGTTTGGAGGATGGATCTGAGGTTGCTACCTCAGATCTGGAGTGGAGAAGATCTTAAGAGCATTAAAGCCCCTGTTCTTGTGTTGTTAATGGAGCTATCATGTCCCAAACCTTGGTTCTAAGGTGAATAAGGCCTATATCTCTTTAGATTCACGTAAAGTTTGCCACTTTACGTGATGGATGGATTGTAGGAGGTTGGATCTATGTTTTGGATCAATTGCATGGCCTAAGATGCTTCTGTATGGATTCAGACCGGTGGTACTTGACGAGTCACATGGGTGGACTCGACGAGTTGCTTGAAGATGGCCTGGAACTCGGCGAGTTGGAAGAACAACTCGGCGAGTAGGTTGAAGATAGCTTTGGACTCGACGAGTCTGTTCTTGGACTTGGCGAGTCTTGTCGAGGAGTCCCAATATTTCTGGTTGAGTCGATGAATCGGTGAGTCAGGGGATGACTCGGTGAGTTGGATGCGAGTGGACTCAGAGTTGCTGGACTCGACGAGTCTTGAGGTGACTTGGCGAGTTGGGTCGCTGATTGAGGGAAGTTCTGAGCTTAAGGACTCGGCGAGTCATCGGGTTGACTCGGTGAGTAGGGTTAGTCAGGGGTTGACTTTGACTTGTCCAAGGTTGACCAGTTGTCTTCCAAGGGTATTTATTGAGTTGTATGTTTTGATGTTCAGTGGAGGAGTTCATGTCAGAGTTCGGAGCAGCGGGATCTTATCCTTTCAGCCGACAGTTTCGAGGTGAGTTATCCTCACTATATAAACAGGGTCTAAGGCACCAAGGCCGGCCCTTTATTGGATTGAGATTCGGATATGGTTATTATGTTCTTGTTTGATGTGTCTGCATCCTGGTAGCTAGGATGGTACATGCTAGGAGACCTTATTAAGGTCAGTTTCCCGACATATAAAGTGATGCTATGCTAGTGACCGGTTAGGTCGGCAACCTGGTTAGGGTAATGATATGCTATGTGATCTGCTTGCTCGGTTTATTGACTATGACTGTTATATGATTGTATGTTTTGTGCACATGGTTGTTTTGACTGGAGATGGGTTGAGGTGGGTCCTGCTTTGTGCTTTAGGCCAAGATACCCAGGGCGGATCGGTTATTCCGAAGGCCCAGCGAGCGGTCCGGATAGGCTGTAGGCCCCACGAGGGCGGACCAGACATGCCGAGGCTCGGAGAGTGGACCAGGCCGACTGAAGGCCCGATGCGGGCGGACCAGTCACACTGTAGACTCAGAGAGTGGACCAGGTGGGTTGAAGGCCCGATGCGGGCGGACCAACCCCACTGTAGACTCGAAGGACATGACTAGACCTGGAGGATGGATCCGATGGACTGAAGGCCCGATACGGCGGACCAGTCACACAGTAGACCCGATATGCATGGCTGTTCTATGTTCTGTTATGTTATGTATGTTTTATATGTTTTGGGCCGGAAGGCAATATGTTTTGGACCGGAAGGTCACAGCCTGGAAGGGCGTATATGTGGTTGGTATTTTGGGGGTATCTCACTAAGCTTTCGGGCTTACAGTTGTGGTTTAATGTTTTTCAGGTTCTTCAGGAGACTGTGGCAAGGCGAAGGCGCGATCGTACTGCTCCTCATGATTTTGTAGCAATGTGATTCTGGGAATACTCTAAATGATTTGTATTGAAAACCTTTTTGTAAACAATTTAATGAAAATCAGGTTATTTTGAAAAATTTAAATTGGTTGTATTTTTCGGATGTTACAAATATCAATGTATTACAATTTTTTGACATGATGTTATTGGATAAAATTGATTGTTTTGGTATATATTTGTTTACATATTTTTATATTATGCGTAAATGAGTATCATAAAGATGCGTTGTAAATGCATATCGTAAATGGTTATTGAAGTTTCTGACACACAAATGTGTGTCATCTTCATTTATGACAATGGCTTCCTTGATACGCATTACGTGTCATTAAACACGCACGTCGTAAGGTTACGAGACGCGAATGCGTGTCGTCTTCCTTTATAACAGGACCTTTCTTGATACGCATTGTGTGTCATAACTGCGCGTCGTAAATAGAGGACACGCAAAAGCGTGTCGTCTCTCGTTATGACAGGGTCTTCCTTGACACGCATTTGCGCGCCGTTTGAGCGTTTTACGACACGCATTGCGCGTCGTAAAAGGCTATTTTTCTAGTAGTAAAATTTTGAACTATGAGTTGAAAAATAAGAACATTCTTAAAGAATAATCATCTATTATTAACAATACTCAAGAAACTAACGTAAAAATAATAATAATAATAATAATATATCAAACAATTACATACTATGATTGTGATACAAAAAACATTCTTAAATAATAACATTTTGAAATAATAACAAGTGTAATTTCTTTAAAAACAACTTTTTTAAAATTGTGCGTGTGATTAATCTTTCATTCATTTTTAAAGCCATTCCTATCAGGTCTTCAAACTATTCGTCATGTCATTCCGCCGTGCCCTTTATCATAGCATTTTATGAAAATAATTGTCATGAAATCATATTCAGTCAGAATAAGTAGTATTTAGAGAGAAACATTTATTACAAAAAGGCAATCCAAGAGAAACATCTATTACAAAAAAGGCAAAAAGAGATTCTAAAAGAATCCTTAAATCTAAAATGCAATTACCATTTAACTCAGACGGAATATATATGACTTTTTAAATTATGGATGAATGCGTACAACATTTTAAATTAGCAATATGGGTTGTAATTTTGTCAGAATAATTAGGGAAATAAAATATGATCATAGTGCATTTTATTTACAATGTTGGTTGAATAAGATAATTCACCAAACACTTGGTGTGCCAATCTATAGGTGATAACATAACCAAAGAATTCTACAATTTCGAAAAGGCAAAACTAGACACATTTGATCGAAGTTATATGGAAATTGTGATGCTACAAGTAGCGAATTAACGACAACCATGAATTCATACGCAAATCACTCTAATTCGTTTTTATAATAATACTAAATCTATGAAATACAATAAATAACGGTAATCAAATTACATTGTCGATGAGGATTTCGTTAGTGTAAGGTCCGTAGACGTAGGAGGTGTCGAGATGACTAACGTCGGAGTTGACGGCTTGGTGGATGACTTTGATAATCTCTTCTTCAGGTTTGGGAAGTCCATAGCCTTGAGACATGCCCATACATCCTAGTCCAATAGCTGAAACCTCTATCCCCTGTGATCCAAGCTTAATTCTTCTCACACCTGACATTTTATTCCTGTTCTTTTTGTTGATTCAAACCTTGTAAAGATATTTAATTTTGTAGAATCGTAACAAAATCAAGTTAAGGAAAGCTGATCGAATACGTACTGCGATGCTAAATTAAGAGATTATGAGAGAGATCCAATATTTCAGCGACTCGATCAATCGATATGAATGGTTGTACAGAAAGGAGAAGCAAGTGTGAATGGAAACGAAGAAGGTAAAGTTGGGCTGATGTCGAATTAAAGAGATGGAGGTGCTATGGTCGACCGATGGTAAGGGTGTTTGGACGATAGATAAAGGGGATAAATTTAGAGTTAGAAAAAGTCATTTTTTTTTTCATAATTAACTGCATCATATAAAGGATTTAATTTAGGATGAATATCAAAATAATTAAATTAAAAATAGTAATTAAATGTAAGATTACAAAATTATCCTTTTGAAATGATTGGCTCACAACCATTCCTACATCCACACAATAGATAGTTAGAATACATGAACCTAGCTCTCTCTCGCTCTCTCTCTCTCTCTCTCTCTATATATATATATATATATATATATATATATATATATATATATATATATATATATATATATATCAATGTTTCTACCAACTATTGTGTTCTGAATACACCAATCAGAAATTAGCAAATAATTAAATAATTAGTTAGATCAAAAAGGGTACATCTGATTTTTTACATTTGCATTTAATGGGATCATTTAATTAAATCCATGCAATTAAGGAAACAAAATAAATAGGTTTGACCTAATCTATCTCTTTTATCTCACGATAGTTGTTCTTCTTCACCTACAAAAGAAAAAGAAATTAAAGGAGTCGGCCATAACTTCACTCGTCCTAGCAACCCTCCTCACCACCGGTTCTCCATCCTTCCTTCACTTTTGTTTCTATTATTGTATAGCTACCAACACAACCTATCATGAAATATAGCCCAACACTTCGTAGAACACTTTTCTAAATGGCTTTCTTAATGTCAAATCTTCGATTTTTAGAGGTGTTTTTCTTAGTTAGTCCCAATCAAGTTCACAGTCCGAAGTTTAGATTCATCTGGTTCGTTATTTTTTCCTTCTTTGACTTCATATATTTCTATTTTATCCTTCTTTGACTTCACATATTTCTGCAATCCAAATAAATCTCATTTTTTCTGACCAGTTTGATATGATTCTGTCATGGTCTTCATGTGTTCGATAAAATGCCTCAATGAAAAAATAGTTAATAATATTAAATTTTTTAACTTCTCTCCAACAAGAAATTTGATGACTTTTGCTCCACCAAGAACATCAAAAAAAATTAAAAGTATAATTTTTATGTACAGAGCAGCGGTCTCGATTGGGGAATTACCACAAAATTTTGATTATGGGGGTATCTGACAACAATTCTGTCGGAATGGAAAATGAAGATCTAATTATGTCAGAATGGAATATCAATTTTATGGCATGGAATCTGAAATTACCCGTTAGTATTTGAAGGTATACACTCTTTTATTGTAAATTTAGTCACATTCATGTATTTATTAATTACATATGTTGAATGTTTCATCAAACGGAGTATAAGGATCTGAGCATTTGATTTTTCCTGCCAAATGTTTATTAAAATGCTTGAATAAAATATAGCCAATTATATAACATCCCGATTTTCAGGTATAATATTTATATATTTGTTTTTGCGATTGAACGAGTGACTCGTCAAGTTGTATGCCCGACTCGTCGAGTATAATCAGATTGGTCACGTAGGTTTAATGACCAACTCGACGAGTTAGAGAGCCAAATCGCTGAGTTGTCATTGTGCGAGGAAACCCTAAAACTTTGGGTGTGTGTCCTATTTAAAGGGCCTTAAGCCCTCATTTCCGCCTCCCTCGTCACCCTTGAGCACTGTGAAGAACCCTATCGAGTTTTAGCTTGTTGTGTGAGAAAGAGAGGTTATCTTGAGCATTTTGGTGCACCTTGAGAGAAGAAGAGGGAAGTATCAAGGCTTGGAGCAAGGAGGGATGTTTAGATCTAGAGGTTCTCAAAGGATAGATTCTGTTTGAGGTAAAAATATGCTATCTTGATCATTTTTCTTGTGAGATCTTAGTTTGGGGAGTTCTAGGGCTTTTCCCCATCCATCTTGTGTTATTGAGTCCCTTGAGCATGTCTTGAGGTTGAAACCTCAGATTTGGATTGTAGGAGGTCTTGTGAGTCCAAACACCCAAGATTTATGGGGCTAGAGACAAGCCTTTGAGCACCAAACCCTTGTCAGAGCTTGTATTGGCATTATGGAGCAAATATACCGTGCATGAACGTAAAGATCAAAGCTTTACGTGACATTCAAGCCTTGGGAGACTAGATCTCTGGTTTGGAGTGGTAGATCTACCTTAAAATTTCTGAATGAGAATACAGACTAAATGGACTCGCCAAGTCAATGAGCTGACTCGACGAGTCGGCTAGGGTTTTCCCGATGAGACTGAACACGCAGTAACTCGGCGAGTTGACGGGTCAACTCAGGGAGTTGAGTTGGACTTTATTGAGGGTTCTGAGGAACCAAAGCGACTCGACGAGGTGCATAGATGCAATCGACGAGTTGGGTCAACATAGACTGTTGACTCGAGTGTTGACTTCTGTTGACTTTAGGGTTTGGTTAACTTGAGGGATAGAGGTCATGGAGGGGTAAAATGGTCTTTTACCCATCACAAGAGTTAAAGAGGGACTATCATGAGTTTATTTAGAGTTTTGATCTTTAAGTGTTAATTAGAGATGCATATTACATGTAGGCGGCATTACACTGTTCGAGGGGTATTCAGTTTCCTTACTTGCTTACAAGGTGAGTCTTCTCACTATACTTATGTAGAGTGGTATCCTTTGTGTGATCGGAGGGTCTTATGTGCTTATATTGAGTATTGTAATATCATGCATTATGTCTTTGTGATTTATGATATGTATTATTCTGAGTTTACTGAGTTAGGACCGGAGGGTCCACCCGAGTTATGGGACCGGAGGGTTCCACGGAGACACATTGAGCAGAGGGTCTTATTCAAGTATAGCCATGAGAGGCTAATGAGATGTGTCTGGTATCTTGGGGAACTCACTAAGCATTGTGCTTACCGCGTTATGTGTTTCAGATACTTCTCAGGATCACAGGAAGGCACTAGCTTGATTGTATACACACGAGTGGAGATATGATTTGGAGGATCCTGGATTATGTTTTGAACAATTTATGAACATGTGTTTTGATAACTAAATAGTTTGGGGTTTTTGTGATTGTGATAATTAAATTAATGTGATTTTTAAATGAAAAATTTGTTTGGAAATTTAAGGTGTAACAAATTTTTTTCTAATCTTTGAACTATCATATCTCTCTCATACTAGCTTGTAATGATCTGAATTTTTTTTTTCTGCATATTCTCATTTGTGTTAGCTACAAGTTAGGTTCTGAATTCATTTTAATTGGATTAGTTTTGGCTGAGTTACAGTCCTTCGAACATGGGATGTTACAACTGTATTTTTAGCACTTTTACTTTGTTCAGAAGTTTTTGTGATCTTTGAATTGTCATATTTCCCACATTTTAGCTTGTAATAAGCTGACCTTTTTCTAAATTATTGTTCTATGTGTTAGCTACAATGTAGGCTCTAGAATAATTGTAATTATATTAAGTCGATTATTTAGATTAAGTGACTCGAGGAATACTTGATCAAGTGACTCGAGTATTACATTCTGTTAGAATAAATTAAACGTCTTTAATGTCTAACACATTCTTTTAGAATTTATATGTAACATCCTGTTTCCTGTCATTTTGAGCCATGGGCTGGAAGTCGATTGTGTAAGGTTTTGGGCCTTAAGGAGGCAAAGTTTAGTCCTTATGGAAGGAGGTAATGATAGTTAAGAGATTTTACCCTTGAATTGTGTTTTGGGCCGAAGGGTAGAAAAAGAAAAGTCATAGATCGGGTCCTTGCATCAAATATGGATTTTTGTTCAAGAAGTTTTTAGTCAAATATATTTAGATAATATTGTAGAGCTCTTCAACACCTTTCTATAGATATAAAGAACGTCGAAAATGGAGTTGGAACGAAGAAGTTATGATGACCGTTTGAAGTTAGGGTGGTTTTGGGTTGAGCCACGTACAGTGGGCGTACTAGGGCATCCCTAGTACGCTGGGCATAAATTGAGTACGCTGGGCGTACGTGATTAGTGCTCAAACCCTATTTTCGTGGTTTGAGCCCTATTTAAGCTCCTTAATATATTTAGATAATATTGTAAAGCTGGAAACTTTATGACTTAGGACATTATTTTGGGCTTGGATTTGTGTTTTAGATGGAAGGGCTTAATGGATTAAGCTCTTAATGAAGTTTTGGGACTGGGTAGCGTATGTTGGGCGTACCATGAGGTACGTTGTGCATATGCGGTCAGCACCTTGCTTTTTGGTGAACATCAGAGTACGTTGGGCGTACTCCCTTGGTATGTAGGGCGTACTCCGCAGGGAATGCATATTGACTTTTGCAACCTTGACTGTTGGCTTTGACTCTAACCATGGTTGATGAAATTTGACTTAAGGGTATTTTGGGTATTTTGGGCTATAGTTAAGCCTTGGTATCTATCTGTTGAATAGGTGACCTATAGAGCTGGTATTCAGAGAAGTGTATTGTTCAACTACTCGTTAGATTATGAGGTGAGTTTTCCTTATTGTACTTACAAGTCAAAGTAACCAAGGCCCACCGATTGGATTGATATCCTGGTTTCACCGTATGCTGTTATACTGTAGTGATTTGTTTGACTTGTATCCTAGTATATAGGATGTAGTATGCGGTAGTGGTTTGTGAATCTGCATGTTTGTCTGATAAGTAGTTATATGCTTATCTATTGGTGGATATATGTTATGTTATATGTGTGTGTCGACATAATATGGTTGGGTTTAGGTGGTACTGCTTTGTGAGGTAGCCAACAAACCCTGGAGCAAGCCAGATATAAGCTATGGGCCCCGAGGGCAAGCCAGTCTTATAATTTGGGCTCGAGAGCA